TCTATTACATTATATAGTCTACAGATTAATAAATAAAAAATTAAAATATAAATCTAAAGTACAGTAATACCCCGAACTTACGTGATAGGTGGAACCGAGCGATAACCGCATAAGTCGAATTCGTGTAAGTCAGGGTATAATTTCGCAATTTGTGTAAAATCTAAGTCGGATGTATGCAAGCTAATAAATGTTCTCGTTAATCTTATCTCGTCTTTTGATTCGTTCACGGTTACAAGAAATCACCACATAGAGTCTCTCAAGTCTCCGTAGATATAACAAACACAGAAATAAATAACACAAAATAAATTGTAGCATGTCGATAAATGTGTTGATTCCATGCAACATGTCCAAATATGTAAGCTGAACAATAGTGTGAGGGGAGTGAGTAATCAAGAGTTGCATGGTGCTCAAACAAAAGACGAATCGACGAGATTTGAAAATCGCGTAACTCCAGGTTTGTGTAAGTTGGGGTAGCGTAAGTCAAGATATTACTGTATAGCACTTTTCAACTTATTTTAAATGCAAAACCTTTTGACCTTGATAAAAAAAATTTACAAAGAATTGAATATAAAGGATTGAATAGATGATTCAATTCTCTCACCACTATACTCAATGGATTTTATTTTCTACAAATGTGAGATGTGCAGTCTGTCAATAGTTCTCTCTCTATGAATATTAATAATTTTTAAACTTTAATAAATATTTTAAACTTTATTTAAATAAATTTTCATGCATATTTTAAACTATTAATTATAACTCAAATACTAATTCTATAGTGGAATCTCAAATTTATTGGCAGAACCTTATGGTTTCATGGAACATTAGTTAGGAACCATTCCCATAGTTACTTTATGAACACATAACATTGCCTTGCATAAAACATTGCATAAAATAAAGCAATATGTCTGGTCTGATATCAAATAATATAAATTGTTTACTAGTACTACTAGTAAGAAATGATACTGTTGACATGCAACCCCTCTGTAAAATAAGACTACTATATTGCAAAGTTTCCTATAATCCAAGTATATTCTGAAATGTGAATGTTAAAAGTTTATTTTGAAGAACAGCTCATTTCCATTTATATCTTTTGATCTCTTTTAATCTCTTTTAATCAAATATCTTCTCAATTGATTGAATTGAGATTTCAAACAATGATCTTTCACTTTGGAAATTGTGAAAATCAAAAGATTTCAGTATCTCTTTAGATGATATAAATTGTTCACTGATCATTTTGTTGTAAGTTTTTAGTAGATTGTTGAAAAAATTTCTTTGAATTTTCTTCATTTGTCTTTGATTGCATTTTCTGATAGGTTATTGATTTCATTAAAAACTCATTTTTCTTCTAATTTTATAAGAGCATGTAACTCAGTCTGCAGAACATTAAAATCTTTGATCATCTTTGGATTTCAACTGTTTTTTGAAAAATCAGTTGAAAAGGTTGTCATTAGTGTTTTTTAACTGATTGATTGTTACCTGAAGTTGTATGAATACAATTCTTAGATTGATTTTAGGAGACTATAGAAATTAACTGGTTACATTAATTTTTTTATGCAAAATTACTACTCACAAAAGAATTTGAAAGCTAATTCTAAGCAGTCAGTTCAGTTTTGATTTGTGACAATAATCCTTTTATTATTTAATAACTTTTTGAAAAAATAAATAAATAAACTTTTAAATCCAGCGTCAATTTTTTTATGATCAAATGTTCTCAGCTATTTTAGTAACTATCATCAGAATTTGAATATAGTTTTCTATATTCAAACATTCTACAAGTATAATAGAATAAATCTAAATTCAAAAGAACAAAATACATTAAGAATAATGAATATAAAATTAATAGTAACTCAATAAATAAATATAACAAAATACAGAAACTGGAGCGAATGTTAGAAAATAAATGTTCTATTTTATTGAATGTCCTTTTTATTCAAATATGTTCTATTTTGAAATGTTAAACTGATAAAAACCTATCAAATTAGGTTGAAAATAGGTTGAAAACATTGTTTTTCATTAAATTTTCTGCTGGAGTTGATTTATTTCCTAATAAAATACAATAAGTTTAATGTACAGTGAACTCCCATATAATGTGCTCCCCTATAATGCAGATTTGTATAACACAACAAAAAATTGTGACTAGTACTCATACAAAATTCTAATATTGTCATTCAGAGGCATATGTTTTCTTTGTGACTTCTCAGTATGTTTTTTTTCAGTATGGATGGCTAAATCAATAAATGCTTCTGATAATTTATAATAACTCTGTATAATATTTTTAAAAAATTTAATTACCTGTATTCTATTTTGTTCTTTCCTTTATTAAAAGGAACCTTCTTTAAAACAAGTTAATTAACACTGCACACAATAAAATGATATTTGAAGCTAATGCACATCTCATTAGCAATATGTGATCAGTGCTGGAGAAAGTTGAAACTTGCATAAAATCATTTGATAACGCATATCTTGTACAATGCAATTTCCTATAACTTGGAACATATCCCCGCCTCTTGTATGGGAGTCTGTTGTATATAAATGTGTTAATGTGTTATTAAAATAAATAATCAACACCTTAAAATTACTCCAGCAAGTATTTTTAATGAACAAAAATAATTTTGATTCAGCTGATGGATCTTCATTTGATGCTGGATTTCAAAGGTTTATTTATTCATTTTTACTACTTTATCTAGTTTTGCATGTTTTGACTTCTTGAAGGCTTTGTAAATCTTTGAATTTTTTCAAAAAGCATAAATTGTATTTATGTGACTTTTCTGTTAAATATCATATAAAGTATTCAAAATCAAAGTTGGACACCGATTTGGAGCTTTTCCATCATTTTGTAGATGCTGAAAAAATAGATAATGATCCAACTATCTATTAATATCAAATAGATGTTGAGATCAACTATTATTATTTTATAGTATTTACAAAGAAATAAATTTTGTTTCCTCAAATTATCTCTCACATAATACATATTTTAGTGTAGTTTGTGAATGCAAACATCAGTTAAAAATTTGAATAATTTTTTTACAATTTTTGAATATGGTACTCTGTGTAGAGGTTAAAATTTATATCTATCTCATACAATAAATAAAAAATGGCCAAATACAATTTCCTTAGGTTTTTATAAACTGTAAATGGATAATGTAGAAAGTGAGATATTTTGAGAAAACAAAGTTTATTTCTACTAAATAGAACTATAATAGCTAAAATTACAGTTTTTAAATACTTATATAACTCATTACATTTTTTAATATTTTTAAACATTTAACCTTATAATTTCTCAATAGTCTATATTCACAGTTTATAGACAGTCAAACCTCAATATATCACTTTCCTATATAATGCCACCCTAATAAAGTGCCAATGAGTACATATGAACAGATCTTTCTCATAAATATTAAACAGAGAATTTTTGTTATCTGTGAGTTCATATAACACAGATGTAGGATTTGTATTGCAAACATTATTATTATCATAAAATTAAATTTTTCAAACTTAAATTTGTGAATACATTATTATTGTATTGATTCTTATAGTTTAAGTTACTTCAGTTTAGTATCATACTTGATTTAGACAGTTTTATAGTTAGATAGTTTATATATAAAGACAGTTTTCTAATAGAATTTGTGACCTATTCTCTCTGTTCTCTTAGTGTTACAGTCCAATGTTTTATTATATTAAGCAATATCAGAAAGTTAGATATACATATATTGTAAATAACTTTTTGCTACTTGTATGATATATAATTTTAATTAGAAACAATTTTAATGTTAACAGTTTACAGTCGACCCCCCCTATAAGATATAGATACGTTCCAATTTATTAGGAATCCGATTTCTTACAAGTCGTTCCAATCACAGCCCGACACGTGTCAAGTTTACGGACTACGGCTGATTGAAAGGTTTTCTTCCGTAAAATTAATCGATTCTACACTAATCCGACTCAACATTTCCAAAATACGTATATTTTTTCGTAGTTTTATAGGAATCGTAATTATAGGGACCGTAATTATAGGGGGGTCGACTGTATTTATAAAATTTATAATTTGAGCATTGTTTTTGTGTTTTTCTTTGGTTTATTTTTATTACTTTTAGGAATCACTAAAAAATAGCAAAGTGTTAATGTGATGACCCTTTTTTAAGAAGACTTCAAACAAGAAATTTTGTATTTTTTTTTTTTTTTGTATAAAGTTTTGTATTGTATATGGCAAAACCTATTGTGTAAAATAGCATTTGTAGATTACATGATTTATAAGGCAATTACTGAGAAAACATTTACAAAAATTTCTAATTCTATTTGGGCTCCAGTTTTCAAAAATAGTATACTTATAAATTTCCACTGTCGTCTATCGGTCCGTCTGTTGTCTGTCTGTCTGTCCTTTCTTAATCTTGAAAATGATGTTAGATAAATGAAATTTAAGACCAAATATGGAAGGCTTGGGCAGGGCAGAAGGCCCTGATTAACTATATATGAACTTCAAGTTTGCACTAGAAGTCATTTTTTTATTTTAAAATTTTCCCTCTGAACAGAGTTAGATATATTACTGGCATGACTATTATTAATAGGAAAAGTAAGGGCAAGATACTAATAAAATTAAGAACATTGTGATTGAAAAATTGCAGCTCAGCATTGTGGTGATGTCACGATAAATATCAGTAATTAATTTTGTTTTTTTTATGATCAAACTTGTAAATTAGGCTGAAAACATTTCAAATAAAAGAATATCTGCTATAAAGTTCAAAATGATTTTTATATAGTAGATAAAGAAAATTGATTTATTTTTAATGTAATAAAATCATTTTATGAAACAGTTCAAATTATTAGAATTTTATCTTTTAAAAGTATCTTTTTGAAGTTAAAATAGTTATTTTGAATGTATAATGAAAGTTGTAATAATAGTTTTTGAAAAAAGTCTTTATTTGAAAAATGCTAACATTGTTTTTTGTTACATATGTTAAATAAAAATACCTTTTATATATATACATTCTTTATTTTTGTAGAGGAACTAACAAAAATACTCAATGAATTAAAGTTGAAATCATCTAGTGAAACCAGAACAAAAGATGAAGAAATTGTATCTAACCTAGATTCAATTTTACAGGCTCTTCTTAAAGAAGGTACTTAATATTATTTTAAATAAAATAATAATAAAACATTTATAATTTTTTAACTTTATTACAATTGCATTGGGTTGAATGAAGGATTTATGTGTTTTTTGGAAAACTGCAATTATTGTTAAAAATAAAATATATTTATGTAGTCAGCAATGTAATTTCTATCAGTTGTAATTATTTTCTCTTGACATTCTACAAACTTTGATTTTATCTGCATAAGATTTTTGTTTTGACTTAAAACATGATTGTATCATATTTCACTTCTTTAAAACTTTAAAATTTAAATGAAAGAGAAAGAATTATGAATAATTATAAGTGTAATTATTCATTTATTTTTTGCAAAATAATTCAAAGTGAGTAAATTACTATGATTTAAAATAATCAGATAATTGAAATTTTGAATTATATAACTTTTTAGTTATTTTCTCATTATTAATTAATTAAATTAATAATATAAAAATTAATATTTTTATCAAAGCATTTGTAATATAGCTTATCATAATAATTAATAATTCTGAATAAGTTAAATTGAATATTATAATCTCAAACTTAGAATACATAATAAACTATCCATTATACCTGGCTTCACCTGGGTTTATACAGTATCCCTTGCAGTAATTGTTACACCTGGCATTATTAATCGTAAATTTAAAAAAGGTATGTGATAAAACCCATTTTAAGAACATTATCAGAATGCCTATAGACTGTGTGGAAGTATGTTCTTGTAAATAGCAAGTTTATAGATAAATTACAGTGAAACTTCGCTTAACGAGCATAATTTGTTACAGAATCTTACTCATTAATCGAAACAATTTTTTTCCCATATAAATTAATGTAAAATACTATACAGTAGACCCCCTGTAACGCTTAGATACGTTCTACTTTATAAGATTTTTACATTGTAGGAATCTTTAAATACATGAGCCAATCACAGCCTGACACGTGTGAAGTTTACGGACTAAGGCTGTTTGAAAGGTTTTCTTCTATAAAATTAACCGATTGTAGACTAATTCAACTCAACATTTCCAAAACACGTATAATTTTTTGGGAATAATCTGTATAAACTATGCTATAAACAAAAAATTGTAGGATTACTTACCGAGTGTGCACCGTTCGACTACGCCGTTGCTTACGCTTGTTTTCGTCGCAGAGCAGCGCACCAAATGGCAGCTGCGTTTTCTGATAAATTATTTTTCTGTGAAAAATTTGTTGACCTTTGGAGACGACATTAATAGAAATAATTTTTATTGCTGTTGAATAAGAAATGTTTCTTTCACAAGAAATGTATAAAATTAGTGCTGTATTAGACTTACGGTACCTAATTTACATACTGTACAGACGATAATAAACTCAACTTACTAGCCTAAAATCTCCGTAGCGTGTTGCCAGGCGGCAGAAAGCATATATATAATTATAATAAAGTTACAATAAATTAAGTTAATATATAATTATATATACAGTACCTAATTTATATATAATTAATATATAATTATATGTACAGTACCTAATTTATATATAATACTGTACAGACGATAGCAAACTCAATTTACCCGCCTAAACTTTCCGTAGCGTGGCGCTGGACGGCGGAAAGTAGTTCGGCTGCTCATCCACTATTGGTCCAGATTCGACCAATCTTGTCGCGACACGAGTCGGCGACAACGTTTTACGAGTCCCTTTATACGAATACTGCCGCAATTTTTTTGCTACGTTATAGGAATTTCCGTTATAGGAACCCACGTTATAGGGGGGTCGACTGTAATACATTCCATACCGAAAAGATACTCAAATATTTTATGTATAACATTTATTCAAAGAAAATTATACAATATACATTGTTAAGGAGTGTGAATCATCATCATCTTTTCTTCTAGTGCAAAATGAACCAACCTGAAATGCGAATTCAGTTTGCAGAAAACAAAAAGAATCGAAATTTAATTTGGAATTGGTCATTAAATTTAATATGCGATGGCAGTATAACTGCCTACCTCTAGTCAAATTATCCATTTCTAACATTTAATTATAGCGTTTACATAGCCCAAGAATTTGACATATTGTTTGGTGTGTTTATTATATAATGGGCTATGGTTGTTGATGTTTATATGTAATATGTGTGAACACAAGTTTGGAAAATGTGTGATCACAAGCAACACTAAGATGCTAGTGGAACAAGTGCTAAATACAGACTGATGTAACATGTGCACAATCTGGGACTTCCCGTCTTCTCATCAATCGTTATGTGAAACGTCGCTCGTTATGTAAGTCATTTTTTACAATTTGCTTTGCCTGTTATGCGAATTACTTGTTATAAGAGGTGCTCGTTAAGTGAAGTTCTACTGTATTACAATTTTTTTGGTTTATTTGGTTAAGGCAATGTGACATGTGGCCAGTATGCCGAGGGGATGCTTCCTGGGAATAGTTTTATGGAAACAAGCTGCTATTTTGACGTTACTGACTTGAAGAAAACTCAGAAAATTGTATGTGGCCAACCTGTTGGCCATGCATAAACCAATGACCAAGTATCAGTGTAACAGTTTCAACTCCATACAGGTGAGTGTGCCTGTGTGGAGTCACCTCACGTCAAAGTAATAATATAGTCTACTTTGCATTACTTCATTGTCACAGTAATGAAGTGTAATGCAATAACAATCAAAAAATTAACAATGTATTATCAACAAACTATCAATTAGCATTTATTTATTATTTTTTCAAACAGATGGCACTACATGTAAATCCAGCAAATCCAATGTAAATTGAAATTAATTGTATAAAAGTCCAACAAATATTTTGGGATGTGATGTACGACATTATTTAAGTTAGAAGTATGTTAATGTAACTGAGTTTTGTAGCAATTGGTTGAACAGTCTAGAAGTGTATAGTGAACAAACAAACAAACATTCTCATTTATAGATATAGATATAAACAGATTCATAATATTTATTTTAAGAATTTGTTTGATAGAATTTCATAACAAATAAATTAATAAGAGTTAATTTAACTAATTTGCATTTAATGTTAATTCAGCTGAATGAAATTAGCTGACACTCAATTGATATCGTTATCAGGTACTTTTTTTAATTATTAGTTTAGATGCTATATAATCATGATTTATTTCTTGATATCTAGGTTCTAATAGACAAGCACTTGTTGAACATTTAATACAGTCTGGTATTGTAAGCACTGTTATTTGTCTCTTAAAATCTGAAAAATTATCTCCTCCTCTTACTGCCAAAATTGGTGAACTCATAGCTGAATTGGCAAAAGTAGGTATGTATTTTACATAATTTAAGAAATGAAGCTTTATAAATAATGTAACCATTTTCAAATAGTTATAATATATCAAAAAATATTTTTGTAATTAGTGATATTTATCCATTAAATCTAATATTTTATAAGTTTAAAAGTTTCACAATCAAAGAGATATTAAATTTATTAATGAATAAAGTTAAATAAAAAAAGTAGTGTTTATAAATAGTTAAAAGTATGCTGGAAAAAGTAAAATAATTTCAGATTACCTGTTACATAATTTGTGATTATTTATGTAAAAATTGCATGGACAGAAGTGTGATTCATACTTTTATTTAATGTGCTGATGTAACTATTGTCTGGAAATAAACCATCATTATTAGTTTACTTTGCAACCATTTCAAACTGGTTTTCTTTTTTAAAAAATTCTTAAAATATATCTCACTTAGATGACTTTTGGGCTAACTGAATAAGAAGAATTTTCACACAAGTTCTGCTATATAAACATTTCTACATTATATGAAAGATGATGATATCTATAAGAATTTTATGGATGATATAACAAAATAGAAGTCTAATAAGGCTGTATTATTGTTAAATTTTTGGATTTAAGTTAAAATAAAAGAACAGAGATTTCCTATTTGATGACATATCAAGTGTGTGTATTTATTTATATATTCATTATTAAAAGATCCTTTTTCCAGTATATAAAATGCTTAAAATATATACCATAATTGTTTTTTTAAGGTTTCTTGTAAAAATGATAAGTTCAATTTAGCTTTTGAGGGTAAAATATAGTTAGAGGTTCATCAGAATAATTTTTATAATTACACAAAAGTTATGGGTTTGAAGACAATGAAGCTGTTGATAAGTATAATACCATTAAATGAAAAAATCATGCTTGTGTAACTTTTTGATTTATAAATTAGTTAAAAAAGATAAAATTCCTAATGACAAAGGTCAGAATATTTAAAAATCTCAGTATATTTTTGACAATAAACAAGATATTTCTACAAAATAAAAAAAAACTATTTTATCTTTTTTACATTTGACAGTAGATATTAGTATAAATGATGCTATTCTATTTTTAATTAAATGAAACAAGGGACTTGTCAATCAGAATTTTAGAAGACTTACTTATTACAACTGTGAATCTGTAATAAAGAAAAAAGGAAAAAAGATGTATTTCTCGATTCTTCAGTTTGGGAAATATAAAAAGTTATTCAATAGGTCTTATGCTTCAATATAATGCCAAATTTTTTATATCTTTATGGCAACTTATTCCGATTTTTAAACGTTATAAAACAATAAATAATCTTGAATATCAAATTTTTATAAAATTAAATGGAACATGAGTGTATCTAGACATAACATCTCATTACAGTACTAGTGGGAATGAAAATGGTATTTGTAATAATATCATTGTCTCTTCATATCTATAATAATGTGCTAAAGCAATCTTTTATTTTTCACTTAAATGTAAATTTTTCTCTTTGCATATCCTATAGAAATATATAAATTGAAAGTAAAATATTGGTTTAATTATGTTTTTATGAATTATAATAAACACTATCTACCAAAAGTAATTATTCACTCTTTAGACAGCAGAATACAAATACATTGTTCCTGTGCAGTTCTATTATAGGTGGCAAATGGAACATCTTGAGTATACATTATTTTAATATGAATTTTTGTAGTTGTCAATGAGTAACAAGCTCTCTGAATTCGAGAAGGGTGTCATTGTTAATTGCCACCTAGTTGGCTTGTTAATTCATGTTACAACAAAAAATTGTAGCACTCTAAATTGACTCACAGTTAATACTTCTATTAATTGCAATATATAGGAAATTTTAAGAATACATCATAAATTAATTAATTAATCAACCTAAATCTTAATAGATAGGATGTTACAGAATAATGTACATGCAACTATAGAAGAACAAAACATGATGGACACTACAAGACAGGAGTTTCAAGCTGCAATTAGAGCCATCTTTCTGTTGGTCAAGGCTTGAATGTGACATTATTATGATACACTGTACACAAGCATCTAACAATAACTGTCATGAGCTAAAATGTGTCAGAATTGTTCCATCAAACAATGGAAATGCATTCTATGGATTGACAAATCCAGATTTATATTTTCCTAGTCAAATGCATGTGTTTGGATGTGGCAATTATTGGAAAAATGTCTGCTACCTGAGTTCATTGTGTCCATAGACAAATAGAGTGTAGAACGATTTCAGTCGATATGTCTCACAGATTCTTAATAATGTTTGAAGTTACCTTAAACAAATACTGAAATAGTGGACAATGAAATGCAGGAATGTATTTCATTACAGGAAGATGAGGATTGTTACATCTAGAATAACAATACTTTTATGAAAAGAATTGCAATCAACAGATAGACTAGCCAGTTCTGAATCCTGATCTCCCCACAGATGATATACACACCCTGATATCCATCACATATCCAATTTGTAGGATGAACAGGTGCTGTGAGTGCAGGCCAGTCCAATACATTGTGTACTAAACTGTTGAGCATGAATTTACTTCAAGAACAGTGGAGGAATATGAAGTTACCTGTATAGCTTGTACTAGTAGAATGTATATTAGGAGATTGTAGCCATGATAATAGCAAGAGTTGGTCCAACAACAAATTGAAGAGACAAGAATCATCCCTTTAGTATACAATAGGAATATCCAAGTATTTTTGATAAATAGTTTATTTTACTGTTTCTGTTTACTGTTACTGTTTACTGTAAAATTGCAATTTAGATTTTATCTTAAAAAACATATTTTTTTTATCATTAACCTTTTATTAATGAAAACACAAATTTATTACACTAATCAAACATGTTATTTGATTAGCTGAATACTTTTATTAAATAAACATTTTTCTGTAATTTAGATATTGCTAGAAAACCATGTACAGACGTAAGTATGGTTGGACCTCTTGTGGATCTCTTATCTAGTGAAGATAATCAGACAGTTCTGCAAGTGTGTCGTGCCTTGGCTAATATCTGTTATGATAATGGTAAGACATGCATCAGTTTTTTTAATATGATTATTATAAACAAGCTTATTTAGAAAGTTAATAAAGTAATTAACATTTATTTTATAATAATTTTTAAGATCAAGCAACATCTAATTTTAGTCTAATCAGTCAGTTCTGAATGTTATAATATTTAAAGAAAAAAATAAATTTTAAAATTTTATTACAAATACTAGCTGCAAGGACCCGCTTTGCTGGGTTTTTATTTGTGGGCAAAAAGTAACGATAGTGAAGATTAAGATAATTACATTATAGCTAATCTTACACGTTTTCACAGAATGCAAGAATTAGGTCCCCCGTTTTCAGACTAATTAGAGACCTGGTCCCGATTCTATTTCTGAACGTCTCCTGTTCACGTTCAGTCAAACGAACTATTTTCATTTTTTTATAATTTATTTTGTATACTAGTACTTACTATATATTAACAGGACTTATTATACTGGAAAAATTATGGATGCAGATATCTAGTCTTACAGTTCAAAAATAACGTTCTTTATTTAGTTCACCTGTTAAATTTCTTATTTCTTCTTCTGTATTCCCCATTCTCTGCTTTCTCCAATTTTCCAGAATTTCAGCTATAGATTATTAAATAATGTTTAATTATTATGTCTTTTTGTCCTTTTTAACTATTTATAATTTATTTTACAGAAGAAGAAATAAGAAATTTAACAGGTGAACTAAATAAAGAACATTATTTTTGAACTGTAAGACTAGATATCTGCATCCATAATTTTTCCAGTATAATAAGTCCTGTTAATATATAGAAAGTACTAGTATACAAAATAAATTATAAATAGTTAAAATGGACAAAAAGGCATAAAAATTGAACTATTTTCAACGTTTCTGGAACGTTTACAATCGTTCTATAATCGAACCAATATTCGAATTTTATGTTTGAATGTAATTTGAATATTATTCGAACATAAAATTCAAAATAGAAAACCACTTTCAACCACTTTCAGCCCCATATCTCCCACATCCTTATAGCTATCGAGACGCAACCCCCATAGTGCACGAATGGAGACTTGGGGCTACTACCACATACAAACACCATTTACGTGCGATGTGTAGTTTTGGCAGAAAAATGAAATATAGGGACATACACGTCCATTTTTATATATATATTAATTTATTGTATGTTTTTATATTTTGAATATGTTAATACTGTATTAAACACAGTATAATATCATTGCTACAATAAAATTCTTATATAGCTGAATTCCTGTCTCTTTTAACACCATATTTACTTGATAATCCGTGCTCTGGAGCAGGTGTGTCAAGCTCATTTAAACAACGGGCCATTAATGCAACTGGTAAGATTCACATGGGCCACATCACATTTACAAATTTTCTTAAAATTATAATTTGAAGTGAGAATGTAGGAATATAGATAGGGCAATTAAAACACATTATTGTAGTTCAGTGAATTCATCTCAACAATATATAATTGCTGTAGTATTGCTTTTATTTAAACATTTATTTTATTTAATGTACATATGTATAAAACTAAAATTAATTGCTTTTACTGGAAACTTGCCAGCACTATCTTCCTCCTCCTAGTTTTCCAATATCTGGATTCAAAGACAGAACAATCTTCGTTATGGTAGATAGATGTTTATTAGTTAATCTTGATCTGTAAGCTGTTTTATTTAATTTCAGAAAAATTACATTGAGGCTGCCAATTTGACACTCCTGCCCTAAAGTAATCCATGCATAACATTGTTTT